ATCAATTCAGTACGGGGCGTGTGCCCTGCTCCTCTGTGCCCAGGCTGGGGAAATAACCTGGGCAACCAACATTAACAGAATCAGCCGGCCTAGATTAGGAGTTAAGACCAGAGCCTTGGGGCCAGCCCGGTGGCGCAGTGGTTAAGTTTGCACATTCCGCTTCAATGGCCCAGGGTTCGCCAGTTCAGATCCGCGGTGTGGACGTGGCACCACTTGGCAAGCCACCCTGTGGTAGGTGTCCCACATATAAAGTAGAGGCAGATGGGCACAGATGTTAGCTCAGGGCCAGTCTTCCTCAGCAAAAAAGAGGAGGATTGGCGGCAGATGTTAGCTCAGGGCTAATCTTCCTCCAAATAAAAAAATTAAAAAAACAACAGACCATAAGACCATAGCCTTGGTCTCAGTACTGGCGCCCTGCTCCTGGACTGCCTTTCCGGAGGGAAAGGGGCCTTCCTGGAAGAACACGGCTTTTCTCAGCTCTCCCTTGGGTGTGCGCCCCCTCTGAGACCCCTGTGGCCTGGTCACTGATGCTACAGCCAAAGGAGGCCTTTGAGGCTGAGCGGGACGAGGCACAAGAAGTGTTTCAGCCTTTCCTGCCAGCGTCTCCCAGCCCAGGTTCTCCACGGCTCCCTCTGGCCTGGGCCACCAGGGAAAGCCCTACTGCCCTGGGTTTTTCCATGAAGAACATGCACATACTGCAAAAAGTCAAGCATGAGAAGGTGTCGCACTTTCTCTCTCTGAGTGATCCACCCACCAGCTGTGAACAGGGGAAGGAAGGCCACGTTCATTTATTTCCTGAGGCCACTGAGCACATCCACATGCTCTCCCTCCATCTGGAGCTTCAGGGACCTTTTCTACCAGGAGAATCCCCTCTGTGATGATGGTCTCCACTCCAAGTCCAAAATTTCCTTGACGTCTCCTGTTTTTGTCTTAAAGGTGCATGTGAATTTTGCATTCTGACCCATATATATATATATCTCCATTTGTTTTCGTGTAACTTTTTTCTCCCAAGTCTTTTAGTAAAATTGTCCCTTTAGGAACAGACACATTGACAGGCACCATGGGCTGCATCAGCTTCAGAGAAACCTCACTGGAGCCGCTTGGCCTTAATCCATCTGACCCCAAATCCTGCTATGCCAGGCATTCAGGGAGGCTGGGGCAAGCACTGCCCCGTGCCCTCATGTGGCCACCGGCTAAGGCAGCAGATCAGCCGGTCCGACAAGACATCTGCTCCCAGCCCATCTTGCAGGGTAGGAAGGCCCCAAAGGCCATGGAGGGCTCGCATACCTCACTGCACACATGCACCAGCTCCCTCATAACCAACAGTGAGCAGTCACTAACCTCAAGTCACTCCCATTACAGCCCAAGCCACGCCAGGTCACCCCTGGCCCAGGACTTCAGAAATTCATGGGCCTCTGGTCCAGAGGTCACAAACTAGAGGTCCATAGGACCATTCACTTGGCTCCTAGGGTGTCATTTTTTCCCCCTTGAACTAGTTACCAATATTTAAAAATTCAACTATCAGAAGATTTTTTAAAAAGTCAGATCTCTACCTTCTCCTAATGAAAAAAAAAATCTGAAGATCTGGCAACTCTGGCCCTGCCCTCCACATGGGGCAAACTGCAGTTGCCCCCTCCAGAGAGAGTGTACACTCTGCACTTCACCGCAGTCCCCACCACTCCCTATTGTATCACAGCACCAGTCCCAGCCTCTTTCACTCTTTTCCATGACCACCTGGCCCCCAAAAAGCCCAGAGTGGGCCACCCCTACTCTGGTCCAGTAGCTACCAGTACGAGAGGGGAACCTGAAGCCCAGAGATGTTTAGTGAGCTGCTCTTGTTCAAAGCAGCAGCTAGTTAAAACTGAACCAAGGTGGGCCGGCCCCATGGCCGAGTGGTTAAGTTCGCATGCTCCGCTTCAGCGGCCCAGGGTTTCGCCGGTTCGGATCCTGGGCGTGAACATGGCACCGCTCATCAAGCCACGCTGAGGCAGCATCCCACATGCCACAGCTAGAAGGACCCACAACTAAAAATACACTACTATGTACCGGGGGGCTTTGGGAGAAAAAGAAAAAATAAAATCTTGAAAAAAAAAAAAGAAAACCGAATCAAGTGGCAACTTGCTTTAAACTTCACAAAGACCATCTGTTTCAGAGAAACATCATCACATTTCTCCCCCAGCTTTTCTCAAGGGAGGGGAGGGAGCTAAGAAAAGAGAGAGAATATTGTCCTTGCTTAGCCTGAAGAAATACATTTAAAATATCTCATATCCTCCTAGTCAAACTCCAGGAAGGTCATGGCTGATACGGATCAGAGAAGGAGAAGACGTTGAAGGGGTACAAACCCCAGCTCCTCACAGTGCCTGCCCGGCCTCGAGCCCCCTGACCGAGGCAGGTGAGGACTGGGACCCTCACATTCCAGCATTTTAAGGGACACTTTCCCAAATGCACCCCCCGCACACATTCCAGCTGCTCTGCCTTCATCTGGGGGCTGCAGTGGGACATCTGGGAACCTGAAAACAGGCAGGCAGACAGGATGGCAGGGCCCAGTTCAGGACTGAAACTGCCCCTAGCCCACAGGGACAGCCACCTAATCAGCCTCCCAGGGACACCCATGCCGCCAGAAAATGGCTTGGCCAAATGCCCCGTTTGTTTTCGGGAAACCGTTGGTAACGGTTGAGTCTGATTAATAAATACCTAGAGGGTTTCCTCTGACAACATTCTGCAGAGGGGGCACTTTGAGCTTTGAGATCACTGAGAGAATCATTAACATCCCCACCCCACCCCCACCCCTGCCCCCACCAGCTCAACCACTGCCCACTTGACAATGAGCCTGAGCCAGCCTTGGGCCTCCGAGAGGCTGTTTGCTGGTGTCATTAACAGCAAGACAGACAAAACCGCCCTGCTTCCCACCTAGACACGTCACGTCCCCTGGTCGGCGGGGCCTGCCTGACCTCTCCGTCTCACCCTGCGTCAACCTCTGTCCCACTTCCCTCTCATTGACGCCCTAGAAACATCACCTCCTGAAGTGACAGGACTGGCTTGCTCATGGATGAAGGTCCCCACAAGAGATCAGACAGCAGGAGAGCAGGGCCTCCTCCGAACAGCCTGCAGCCATATCCCCGCGCGCCTCCAACACGGCCTGCCACTTAGTCAGTGCTCCACGAATCCATCTGTTGGGTGCCTGAGCAGGCAGATACACCCCCGCTCCTGGGGAGGCCACAGTCAGGGTTGCCCACCTGCCCCCCTCGGCTGCACAGCTGGCTTGTCAAACCGTCAACCAAACCCAGAGCCCCAAAACACTGGCAAGCCCAGCACACGGCAGGCACTCCCGAAATCGGGGGCCTCTCTCTCCCCAGTCACACTGGCCATATGAGGTCCACCAAGCTGTGGACCTGACAAATCCCAGGTCCAGACTTCCCTGGGGACAGGGACACTGTCAGACATTTTAAAAGGTGAAATGTTACAATATTTTCCCAGGCTCCTCCAGCGACAACCTCCCTTGTTCCAGAAGCAGCTGGAGCAGAGGTTCCCAGACACATGGCCACCCCAGGACTTGTGTCCTCTGCTAGTTCACGAATAACAAAACAAACGCAGACATCACTGTTGCTCCTGACCCTGTGGCCGGTTCGGGGGTTGGTATATTCTTCTTTTGGGCCTTTGCAGCATTTCACAGTAAAAAGGAATAAAAGTGATGCACGCCCTCTGTAAAATGACATCCACACACTGAAGGGAGTGAAATGAAAAGGAGAGGCACCTCCACCCCCAGCCCTGGTCTTGCTCCCAAGAGCGTCCTCTGCTAACAGCTTCTTTCTTCATCCCTTCTGGAAAAAGTCTGTGCATACACAAAAGCATAGGTACAAATCCTTTAGACACACACCCAGGGCATGCTGCCCCGCACCGATCTTTCCCCCCGTTTAGTATCTCAGAGATCCTTCCTGAGGAGCCAATACAGACTGATTCAGAAATGAATTTACTCCAAGTTCATGGCCAGAAAGCTTCCTCTCATCTTTACTGAGCGCCCAGGTGAGCGGCCACATGGAAGAGCTGATCACGCCATTCATACATGTCTGTGATGATCAAGCCTTGTGGCTCCTCTATAAACACCCGGTTTGGCATATTTGTTTTTCCCAACAACTTTTCGAGCAGCCTCTGGTTCCCTCAGGCCTCTAACAGTGAAGCGGACCCACTGGGAACACCCATTATTCAAAGCCTGCCAGCTCTCTGGGTTCCTGGCCAGGTCTCCGGGCCCCAGGTCCCTGCAAGCATTCCCCATCTCCTTCAGAGGCTCCAGGAGGCATCTGCCTCACCTATATGGGCAGCTTGGTGCCAGAACAGAGGGCAGCACGGGGCTGACAAGCGTTACCCCTAGAACTCCAAAGGAAGAAGACAGTTGGCACTCTTTGTCAACAAGAGGCAGCTGGCACACCATCTGGCGTTGCAGTGAAGGGTGTGGGGAGGGCTTAGAGCTGCCTGTGACACAGGTAAGGCTTCACTGAGTTCTATGCTTGACAAGTAACTGCTTTACCACCACAGCATAATAATGAGCGCCAGAGAGCACAGGGCTGTGCTGGGCTCCCCTCGTTAGGCAGATGGACACAAGCAATAGAAACGGCCCGTTCCCTCCCGTCTGCCTTCCTGTCCTTCACAGTCAACAAATATTCACCAAGCAGTGACGCTAGCCCAGCAGATGACTAGGCAGTAGGGAGAACAGACAAGTCCCACAGAAATTAAGGAAAACAAACACAAACACAGTAACTAGACTTCCCCCATTGTTCCCCTGTCCCCAGACACAAAAACAGTCTGGATAAAATCTTGTCTTTAACATAACCAAGCTCAAGGCAAGACAGGGTCTGCTCCAGGGCCCAGCAATAAGGAAACCCAAAGCTAAAGCCGAGAGCTAGAGAGGAAGCTGGGCAGGCCTAGGAGTTTAAGGAGTGCATGGCTGGGCCTCAGGAGAGGCTGGGCTCCCAGCTGAGGCAGAGGAGCCGGCAGACACCTACTTCAGAAGGTTTTCTGCTCCCGTTCTCATCCGCACGGCTTTCAGGATCTGCTGGTTCAAGGCAGCCCTTTGATTCTGCAGTTTGCTCCGGCCAGTTTGTGCAAGGGGATTGCAACCCTGAGGGAAAATGAGAGATGCCCCTTCAGAAGTCAGCCACTCTAAAAATGATAACAATATTTAATATCACAGAAAATGTTTTAAAAATGAAATTTTTCTGAAAATAAAAGTAACAACATGTAAAATATACAAAATATCGAAAAGTATAAAAAAAGAAAAGAAAAGCCACTCATAATAACACAGCTCCAAAACGGCGCCAGTGAATTGGGCTCCTTCCTGCCCGTCTATTGCATATGCATGTTGTTATTTCTGACATTCGAGGCTGTGCTGGGAGTCACCGAGACCACCCCCCTGTTTGGAGATGCGCTAGAAGGATTCCCAGGGCTCAGCACACAGCGGCACTCACAGCTAAGATTTATGACAGCTGGATCGAAGGGAAAAGGGCAAGGCGGAGTGGGGAGGAACCACGCACAGGCTTCCTCGGGTTTCTGCCCTCCCAGGAGGGGTCACACGGAACACACTCTTTCCCCAGCAACAAAAATGCAGCAATAGTACGCGATGTCTCTGCCCAGGTCAGCCCATCGGAGAATCAACGCCCAGGGCTTTTATTGGGCGCTGATGACAAAGGCACCCTCTGCCTGGCACGAACCAAACTTCCAGGCTCCCAGAAGGAAAGCAGGTGTTCATTATAACCACACAGTTTGTGCCATTAGTCTGGGCACCAAGAGCCAATCTTATCACTTAGGAGATGGAGGGAACGCTCCAAGAGCCAGGTTCCCAGACACCAGGTGGGGTCACCCTAGCAAGCAGGCCTTTCTCAGGACAAGCAGCCTCAGGCCTGCCATGATAACCCTTTTCTTCTCAGTGGCACATCCAGTTCACTGTTTTCTCAATACTCTATCCAGAAAATTTCCTTTATTATGAAACATTCCTCAAAATCATGATTCTAATAATTGCATTATATTGCCTTTTTTTTAAGAACTTACCATTTCCTTATAGTTGGACATTTAGATTGTATCCAAGTATCTGCTATTATGTAGAATTATTTGATGCATATTTGTAAACATGAATCTTTATAACACTCAAGTTTTTTCTTGAAGGTTTATTTCTAGGGCAGTGTTACGGGGGTCAAATCTCTTTAAGTCCCCGCATGTGCCAGCCCAGTATCCTCTAGGAAAGGCTCTCTCTATTCCCCGTCCCCTCCCCCAAGCCTTAGGCAGCCACACATCTACTTGTGTCTGTAGAGATTGGCTTATTCTGGACATTTCATATAAGTGGAATCATACACCGCACGGTCTTTTGCAATGGCCTTCTTTCACTCGGCACAGTGTTTTCAAGCTTCATCCATGATGTAGCGTGTGTCAGTACTTCATTCCTTTTGGTCCCTGAATAATACTCCATCACACGGATAGCCCACTTTTATCTATCCATTCCGCAGTTGGTGGACATTTGGGGGCAGTTTTGACTTCCTGGCTATTATGAATGGGGCTGTTGGTGTGTAAGTTTTTATGTGATGTAAGTTTTCCTCTCTTGCCTACATATCTAGAAGTGGAACTGCTGTGCATACGATTCATTCTACGTTTAACCATTTGAGGACCTGGCAAACTGTTTTCCAAAGTGGCTATACTATTTTACATTCCCACCAACAGTATGTGAGGGTCACAATTTATCCACATCCTCACCAATACTTATCACTGTCTGTCCTTATTACTATAGCCAACCTCGGGCATGTGGTATGTCACTGTGGTTTTGATTCTCATTTCTCTGATGGTTCATGAGTTGAGCATCTTTTCATGTGCCTATTGGTCATCTGTATATCTTCTGTGAAGAAATGTCTGTTCATATCCTCCGCCCATTTTTAAACTGGGTTGTCTTTTCATTGCAGAGTTGCAAAGTATTATTTTTAATCTTTGCTAAGTTGATATACAGAAACAGTATGCCATTCTTCCAATTTGCATTTATTATTAGTGAAAGTAAACATTTTTTCATATATTATTGATCACTTGAATTTCTTTTCCAGTGACTTGTCTGATCTCTGTTCCTTATTTCCTGGAGTATTTGGATGGCAGTGTTTCATTCTGAAAGTGTAAGATCAGAATAAAAGTTTCATTTTAACCTACTGCTGCTCTTCCTGCCCTAGCAGCTAGAAGCCCTGGGACCTGAGTGGGGCCCCATTCCTTTCTGATGCTTATCTCTAGGTTCTGCCCACTGAGGGGGCTGTGGCTTCGCCTGGGGAGTGGCTGGTGGGCAGTACTGGGTGAGGAGCCTGCCCTTTCTCTCTGCTGCGTCACTGCCATCGCAGCTCTGCACACACCTGGCCTCCCCACCTCCGCCCAAGCCACGCCCATGGCCTCGACCCCAAGGAGGGAGAGGTGGGTTATCTACAGTCTCGGGATTTGCAGGGATTCCCATATCAGCGGCCTTTGGACCAGTGGGTCAGAAACGAGTTATGTTTCTCCTTCCACAAAGATTTCTCGTTCTCACTTCCCAGCAGATAGCCATCACCTGCCCCCACGCAGCCCCACAAGTTCAAATGACGCAGATATTCAGAATCTGACTTGGAATGGTCTCAAAGTTAACAGCTTTCAAAACCATTAAATGATCCCTGATTTAAAATAACAATCAGAAAACTAACTGTCTTTTCTCAGATAGAAGATTAAAATGTCTTTAACATTAAGCTAATTTAATATTAAAGGGCTAAAATAATTGCCAGCCTCTTTCCTTTCCACTTCCTAAAATTACTATGAAGGGATGGTTCAGTCTGACTCAAAAATTACATAGTTCGCCAAAGCTGCATGTTCCATTTTATAGAGAAGCTTTAATAACTAATTCCTTCATGAACATTCCCAGAGCTAAGATAAGTAGCCACTCCAGCTCACAGATAAGAACTTTTTCCTGCTGCTATACTTTACCCAACTTCTGGCTGGCCTGGAATTACTACACCCTAACCAGCCCACAGCTGAGGGGTCAACTTTCCAGATAAGACATAGGAATGCTTAGGATTAGATATGACTGAGTAATTGGACTCAAAACTACATTACTTCTTACTGACAGGTAGGAATGTGGGGCCTGCTGGAAACCCCAGAAATGCCCAGAGGGCTATGTGGAAACTTCCTGGAGTTCCGAGAGGCAAATCTGGGCAAGACTGCCAGAAAGACCCCCTGGCATCACCAGAGGCTGTTTTGCCATCCACTGGCCCCTGCCAGGGGGTCTCTGCTGGTGAGGACCCACAGTCCTTGCCCACAACTTAGTTCTTGATTGGTTCACAAGAGGATATGGAGCTGCTCCAAGACTGGAGTGAAGGTTTGTGCCAGGGACCAGGGCAGCACCTGGCATGCCTACCTGGCCTGGGAACCTGGAGCAGGGGAGGGGGCAACTGAATCTTCCTGGCCTCAGGAGTCACTGTCTACAAGCCCTACGGTGAAGTCAGTCTTTCCCCTACATGGAGTCTCTTGATTCCCTTACCAGACCAAGGTTTGGGCATTTGCTTCAGTCTCCAAACGTGGAAGGATGGTCAGACAGCCAACACCCAAGGAAGATCAAGTACTGAGTGAAACCTCATCTTCATCACTAGCTTAGTGGGCATCTCCCATGTGTCAGGCAGCCAGTGTGGACCCAGCATCTCAGATCCCACAGTTCTGAGGCTTGGAGGTTAACTGAGCTACTCAAGACCCCAGAGGCAGTATGGGTAGAGCGGGACTTAACCCCACATCCTTCCTGCTGCTCTAAGATGAGCTGTGAGGGAGCCTGAGCAGCAGGAATGTGCGGGATGCTGGGATGACCCACCTGCCGATACCCAGACACCCCTCCCATGCTTCCTGGCTGAGGCCTGCTCAGCATCACTGCACATCTTTGGGGCAAAGTGACCCACGTCCCACTCTCCCACCCCGCAGCCCATGATGGAGAGGGGTCGTAAATCCATGCTCTCACACCTCCTTTCCAAGGGGAAGAACATCTGACTTACGCCTAGCCAGTTGGAAAACTGAAGGCCCCTGGGCCTGAGGTTGGGTCCGGATGAGCACCTGACAACAGGACAATCAGAACCCATCAGGAGGCCTTCATTTTTCCCCACTGGCCTTGAACCTAGGATGTCAGACTGGGCAGCTGCAGCCACATTACCACAGCAAGGGAGTGTCTCCCCAGAAATGAGACCAACCCTGGAGGAGCAGAGCTGAGAAACTGAGTCTTAGTGGCAGCATCTGAACCCTAGATCCAGCCTGGCCTGAAGCCATTCCTCTGGACCTCTCAGTTACAGGAGCCAGTGCATTTCCTTTCTTGCCTAAGCCACTTTTTAAATTGAGGTATAATTTACATATAATAAAATGCATAGATTTTAAGTACATAGTTCACTGAGTTTGGACAAATGTGTACACCAGGGTAACCACTACTCCAATCAAAATATAGAACGTTACCACCATCCCCTGGCAACCAATACTCTGGTTTCTATCACCGTAACTTCCACCTGTCCTAGAACTTCGCATAAATGGAATCGTACAGTGTATAGTCTCTGCGTCTGGCTTATGTTGCTCAGTACTACACTCTGATTCCTCCATGCTGTTGCGGTTATCAGTGGTTTGTTCCTTTTTATTGCTGAGTAGAATTCCATTGTAGGGATGTACCACAGTGTGTTTACCTGCCTAAGCCATTTTGGATTGGATTTTTCTGGCCCCTGCAACTAAAAAAGTCCTAATTAGAATAATTAGGCAGATTGTTCAACTGGGAGACAAGTCTTTAAGAGCAGCAGCTAAGCAAAAACTGGAGGCACTTGATTTGGAACAAAGGAAAGAGACTGAACTGCTGCCTGCAGAGACCGAGGGCCAGGCCAGCAGGAAGGCAGATGCAGGGGGAAGGGGCAGTCTTTCCTCCCGACTGGGGCCCCGCTGGGGCAGTGCCTGGCGCCTGGCTCCCCTCCACCCAGAGAACCAGCGAGGGCCCTGCCTCCATGGTTGCCACCACATGTTGCCAGCAAACTGAGAGCACAGTGTGAACTTGGGGTCCCCAGATCAGGAGTAAGACTGAGTGAGGGGTGACAGCACAGGGTCTCCTGCTTGCACGAGGTA